AAATGTTTGATTGTTTAATTGAGCGCTCAGGCTGAACAAAAACCAGCAGGTGTGGGGGTCCCCATGGCCAGTATTAGGAATCCCTGCATTTGAGATGAGTACCATGAGTGCACACTCTAACATAACTCTAACATAACATTAAAACTCTCACAAGGGAGAGTTCAGGGGTGATTGTCCTTTTTCAATTGGCTCAGTTGTATCTGGGGTTGCTGGGGCTGGATTAGACACTGCATTAGAGAACAGAAAGTCCACCGGTTTGTATGTTTTGGTAACGATGAGAATTTTGAATAAAGCTGGGATGAGGAACTTGTTCCCCAGTGTCTTTCAGTATACGGGTTAATGGCGATTTATCTGGAAATGACAGCGAGTTAAAATGACTCAGGAAGAGAACTGGAGTGGAGCTCCAGTGAGCAGCTACGTGGACTGTCTTCAGGCAGGGGTGGCGGCAGGGGCGGGCCTAGAACAGCGACCAGCAGGTGGCACCCCTCCTCCCCTTGTTAAAGTGGTTGGTAACACATCCCATTACATTTCTAAAACCGAACTTTAATTATGCATTATGTGATATCACCCTGCAGCTCCCAGCATCCTGCATCCTGTTCTGTTCTTGCTTGTTCTTGGTGTGTCCTGGACTGTGAGTAACTCTTTTAGTGCACCCCTCACTGTACTGATTGTTTGTACTATTATTATTGTGTCATTCGTTACACTGTGGCTGTGTTGTCTGTGTTAAGCTGCTGTTGCACTGCAATTTCCCTCAATAAAGTATCTATCTATCCAGGTGGGGCTGCACACTGGTGGTGGTGGAGGGGATCCCCATTACCTGTGAAGTGCTTTGAGTGGAGTGTCCAGAAAAGCGCTATATACAGTGTGAGCAATTATTATTATTTGTCCGTCCATTTCTCTCTTGTTTCTGAGGTAAAAAAAAAATATTCTCAGAATTGATTGGTTGATTGATTGATTGATAATATTTCAGAATGTTAACCATATTATTTATTCCACATCGAAAATCGCCACAGACTAGCATGTTTTATCGTTATTATGCCCAAACATAAATATAGAAATAAATAAGAAAACTCTTCAGTGAACGTTGACATATATTTACAAGATAGATACAACAGGACTCATACTGTTTTTTTTTTGCCTTGAATGTTGTGAATTCAGGCACTAGTTCTTTTGGATGCAGTTTTCCAGCTGTATCCTGCTCTACCGACATGGACAGTGCAAGAGAAGTCTTGCACAGAGTTTTATTGATTTGAGCGTTGCGAAGCCATGCTCTTTACTAGCTAAAGGTTAAAAAAATAATACGTAGCGCTATAAGCCAATGTGGATCACCAGACAGGAACTGTGTCACCTGATGGTCCTATATTCTGCCAATTCCTGGTCTCTCTCGCCTGGGTCAGTTTTCATGTTATATAGGGTGTAGTCAATGTTTGTTCTAGAGTTAAGTAAACAGCACACATGGTCTGTTTGTAGATTTTATTTACCTCCTCGGTTGTAACGAGATGATTAAAATGCATCTTTATGGGTTTTCTTGCA